CCAATCGATTAGAGGGTTCCATTGTCTCTTCAGCTAAATAATTATTATCGCACCACGGACGCAATATTTTAAAATTATCAAACGTATAAAAACATAATCACGTAAAAACGTATCAAAAAAAGTAAAAAAACGTAAAATATAAAATGTTTTCCGTATAAAGAACACTGAAAAAAGTCACTACCAAACTAACTTGCGGTTCCCTATTTGGAATTTGAATTTAACTGAACGCTGTAGCAGTTATGATTTTACTAAAAATATTCTTGTCTCCCAAAAATCTGTTGGTCATATCCGCAATTTAAAAATAAAATATTATAAAAATTTGCCTACCTAAGTGTTCCCCGTCCCGTGCCTTCGGCACTGGACGGTCCAAACCTGATACCTTATTTTATGACTCCGTAAGCTCAGTCAAATACTGATATAATCTTACCCCAAGTATGAATAAGTCTACCGACAAAAGATAATGCATTATGATTTGTCATAACAGCGATATCCGATGTTTTCATTGGCCGTTAGTCCACGTGGACTTATCATAAGTTCGATGAAAACTTAATTGGTTGATTGTTCATATCTGGTTCATATTTTAAAAGATTATACCAGGCACGTCTGATTGTTAATATCGAGTGGAATCTGGAAACTTTGTATTATTATACGCCTGAGTCATTGATAATTTTACAGACTCCTGGTAGAGTACCTTTTTGTTGAATGATTTTATTACAGATACATATATTTTTGCACAGTCTCACGGAAATACGAGGCTACTATAACAATGTTTACAATATATACAATAAAATATAAATATCACAAACTTAATCACATAATTTAGTTTTACATATCAAAATGATGATTACCTATTCCACAGCCACTCAAATAAACACATGCCTGAGACCAGAAATGAATTTCAGCCTTTGGTGCAACAAAAATCTAGATCTGGGTGAATATTTGACCATCTTAGTGCTCGAGATAAAAAATTATTATATGCATAGCTGGTTATGTAAAGAGGAACAAAAAAAGTTTGGTTTAATCATGTTCTACAGCCACTTATTAATACACACCATCTGAACTCAGTCAATTAAGTATGTTCTCAGTCATCTAAGAAGTGGTCCATCAACACCCATTTTTTTGAGTTTAACTATTAAAATATTATGATTGACGTGATCAAAGGTCTTGAAAAATCAGTTTATAGTACATGTAGCCTACAGTCCCTCTCCATGGCCTTCAAATTGTAGGTCTACTCGCTGTTTTTCAAGTGAAGATTTAAGATAGCCACATACAAAACATTAAAATATCTTTGGTATTACACTAATTATACTAATGGACCAGTAATTATTCACCAATAAATTGACTCCTGCTCTAAAAATAGATGTTAAAAACTATTTTCCAGCATTCTGGAAATTCACCCTTATTTAAGGATAGATTAAAAATGTGAAAAAGAGGTCTGGATAATATAAAACAACAATTCTTGAGAAAGAGGCAATCCATCAGGACCAGGACCCTTATTCACATACAGTTCTGATAATTTTAAATAAATATCAGATAAGTATAGTTATATTGAAACATTATTTTGTCACATATTTGAGTGGAATAGACTGTAAAAAATATTCTGCAAAACGATTTACAATAACTGATTGGATTCAACATCAGCATAACTCAACACAGCAGGCAAGAAAGGCTTTCCCCTCTGTGAATTCACAGACTACCAAAATCCCTTCAAATTATTTCATAGTGATAATTCTGTTAAACAAATATGAATAAATTATCCCAACAGAACTGTGAGAAAAAATCAGTTATTTTAACATAGTCAGCTGATTTAAAGTCCCTATAGAAACCATGTGCTGGTAAGATCCACTTCATGAATTTTGTTTATTAAATTATTGTTTCTAGCAATCATTTTCCATAGAAATCTTTCCATTCAACATTTTCATCTTAATGCCAGAGGTGGCATATTAACAAATCCAGATTTAAAGAAAAAAATATTGAATTTTATTTAATGACAAGACATATTCTAAGCAAAAATGTGCATGATTTGTACAAATACCTATACACTTTTATTTAAACTTACATATTTTTCTGTCGAAACCTGTGGAAGCTAAATATTGACCTTCTGGATGAAAATCTACACTAAAGATTTCTCCCTCATGTCCTTCTAATTGCATTATAGGTGCAAATAAGTTTGAAGTTCTTGGTGCAGTCTAAAAAATAAGAGTTGTTTGAACAGTAAAGTATAATTCTATTGTGGTAATTTAAACCAATTGGCTTAGGCACTGGAGATGAGGTGCAATTGCACCCCTTTGCCTTGAAAGAAAGTACATAGCTATACATGTATAGTTCTATATTTTATATTGATTAATAGTATGTGTAGATGCAAATGCACCCTCCTGAAAATAGCCCTGCCGACACCCATGCCAATGGGAGATTATCAAGACAAATTTCAAACATTGGTGAGTATTTCATACCCTCTAACAAAGCACTTTCGATATTAGTGCTAAAACTATTTTAAAATTTTGCAAATATGTTTTTCTTCTCTTTAATATACTTCTGCAAATTCATTGGTACCAGAAATAAAGCAAAATTAAACGAAAGAACTTGCAGACATTAGAAATAATTATCTGAGAATCATAGTAAAAACAACAAAAAGACATTGTTAAGGTGAATAATAAATATTCAAAAAATTAAATATCTAGGTAAGAGCTGACTAAGAAGATAAGATATTGCGCATAAGTCATGATGTCATTGGAGAGTTGGACATTCTAAATGTCAGTTTTTTGTATGTGTCAATAAATAATCTTTAATAAATAGTTTGGAGATATCCCTATGTGTATAATTATTGTAATTATTAAACCTCTTAACTTATTTTCGTCTAGTAATTTCATCACAGAATGCATACAAATCCCATTTAACTTTAACAAGAATTCAAATTCTACTCTCCAATGAAGGCATGCACAAACACGACCGATTTTGTACTACGGGAAGATCCTATCTTGTTAGTCTATAGATATCTATATATCTATAGTATCTATGATACTATGACTAAGAAAATAAGATATTGCGCATAAGTCATGACGTCATTGGAGAGTTGGACATTCTAAATGAGTTTTTTGTATGTGTCAATAAATAATCTTTAATAAATAGTTTGGAGATATCCCTATGTGTATAATTATTGTAATTATTAAACCTAGTCGGTCAGATAGCTCAGCGGGCTGTGCGGCTGCCTCTCATTCGCTTCACTGTCGAATGGTTCAGTGGATGTGGGATCGAGCCCCAGCTCGGTGTACAGAAAACAAAAAGTCTAACGCAGCAGTTTAAAATTCTAGATGAATCTGCGGCTTAGACTAGAATATGCTGGGATCTGATCGGCCTATGGTGGAGCAGTACGGCAAGAGATAAGGGCTTGCGGCTCGGTGATACTCCTCCGTAGATCCCTACCGGACGGGCGTAACGCCTAAAAAACCAGATATATATATATATATAATTATTAAACCTCTTAACTTATTTTCTTCTAGTAATTTCATCACAGAATGCATACAAATCCCATTTAACTTTAACAAGAATTCAAATTCTACTCTCCATTGAAGGCATGCACAAACACGACCGATTTTGTACTACAGGAAGATCCTATCTTGTTAGTCGTAGTATCATGGGTAAGAGCTCAAATGTGATGTGATATATCTCACTTCACCATCATTATAAAGCCTGCAGTGACCAATGCTGAAAATAGGGCTCTCTGTCTCTCATTATTAGGTTAGTGAAAGTCCTTATTATAGTATTCAATATAATAGTAAATTTACCAAAAAAGTAGATGTTGAGTGTGGTGTTTTTTCAAATAATCATATTTTCTTAAGGACAAGTTAAATCAGGAAGTAACTTAATCCTAGAATGAGATGGCCTTCGCTTTGAGTAAAGGTATCAAACATATTTTCACATGATGGCTGTTCATGCTAAGAAATACATAAAATGTTATTATGAATTTAGAAATAACACAGAAAAAAGCTTTGAAGTTGATGGAGGCTCTGTAGAATACTTCTAAGTCTGAAGTAAATACATTTTGCGATTGAGCATACTAGAAAAACTTCAATTTTTAATGAAATGCCATAACCCGATAGTAATTTGATTTAAATATTAAACTTAAATAAAAAAATATTTGATTTCACTTTCAGAGCTTTTACTCAGTCACTCTGATAAATCGGCTAGGATGACATACATATAGGCAAATAGTAGAGGCACTATAGGTGAAATCAAATCTTAACTGTCTTCTCTATACCCATAGTAATTATTTAATAATTAATTAAATAGTATTAATAACTTACTGCTTGAAGAACTGAAGTATTTTTATTTTTCTGGGCGATTTCATTTCGTTGTTTTTTAGCAACAGGAACAAGAGCAGTATCATCTGCACGGCGTTTATTCTCAATGACCATTGTGTTTAATAAATTTTAACTATATTATAAATATTAACATTAAACCAAAGAATTTAGTAAACAGTAAACGTTTGTTTTGTGTACATCAAATCTTAGGTTAAGTGTTGAAGTGTTCCACTCCACTACTCCACTCACTCAACTCCACTGTTAAAAGTTACACGACGGATTGTTCGTTGTGACAGAACTAACTAACAACTTCAAAAGCGACTGTTTGTGTGTCTCTGTCTGAATATTTTTAAAAAAGTTTTCTACATCAAAAACTCTTTTGTTGCGTTGAGTACACACAGGGCTATAGAGGGTTAATGTGAATGTCAAATCTATAATCTATCATAGATAAATAATATACTATTATAATCTGTTGTAAATTTTCTGTTTATGGTTTATGAAAATTTTCACACTTCACCACACACTAAATTGTAACTTGACGCATCGTTTGTCTCTTTCTAGTTTGTTCTGAGTTTCCATAACGTACAGCTACGTATGGCTACGTCACACACTGTTTTATGTGTTTGTTGCATCGAGTTAGAATCTGTTTGTTGCTTGTTCAGAGAACTACGAACGCATCGTAGTTCTCGGGCTTGTTGTAGTTTGTTCGAACGCAGCTTCTACAGCAGAAGCCGAATGTATTTAAGTTTAGTGTTACTTTTTTTCGCTAATTTAAATAAAAATATAGACTTTTCTTCGTTTTAAAATGTGAGTATATCTATCAGCATTTTGTTAGATATTTAATTTAAAAGTTTTATTGATTTATCTGTATCATTAACTCGATAACCTAACATTTTAGGGCTAAGCCAGGAACAGACTCGGAATCCGATAAAGAAAAGAAAAAAGAAAGAGGAAGGGAAAAGAAAAAACGTTCAGGTTCAGGAAGTAGCAGTAGTAGCAGAAGCAGGTAAGATGAGAAGTTAAGGTTTATAGGCAATTTTAATTTAACAAATATCTTTTTAGTTCTTCAGACAGTAGTTCTTCCAGTTCCATATCTTCTAGTTCGTCGAGCTCTGTTTCTAGCTCTCCATCTAGTAGTTCTTCATCTGACTCTTCATCGTCAAGCAGTGACAATAATAGAACCAGGTCAAGAAAAAGGTATTTAATGTGAAATATACTATTACTTAAATTTTAAACTAATTAAATTTGTAGGTCTAGCTCTACTGCTAAACCTGCAGCCAAAGGAAGAGATCTAAAAGATAAAGAAAAAGATAAAGATAAGGACAAGAAGGAATCAAAAGATAAGGATAAAGAAAAAGATAGAGTAGATTCCAAAAAAGATGAAAAAGAAAAGAAGGGATTAACCCCAACCAAAGAAAGAGATAAAGATAAGGAGAGGGATAGAAATCATGTCCGTAACAGATCTAGGTATGTAAATATAGTTAATTTTGATTAATTTTGTATAAAAATAGTTCATTTTAAAGAGACAATTAAAATCACATTTAGCCCACAACAATGCCCATATCCTGTACACTTGTACAGGTATGACAGTTAATGTGAAGTCATTTATTTAGTTATAGTGAAATGAGATCTGCAGGATTTTTGCTCATACGCAACCAAAACCTGACGGAACATCTTTTCTATATCTGCACTCACTACATACAGTGCGTTAAGTTTTGGATTAGGTATACACTCTATAAATGGCAACACTGCGCGTCGTCAACTTGCACTACATATCTGCTTCGTTGACTCATGGTTGGCTCGTCGTTGCACGTCGCCCGTAGGCAAATTTGTCATATTGTCATTATACCGTGGTTGTTTAAAGGTATAACAGCGTGGAGTTTTAATTTATTTTTGTAAACATGTCTGTTTATATGGCCGCGGAAAAAGCTCAAATAATAAAATGGTTTTATAGTGGCAATTCTGTGCAACAGTGTGTAGATTTATTTTCTGTGTTTTTTGAGGGAAGACCAATTCCTTGTGTACAGTTAATTTATAATATTGTTAAAAATTTTGAGAGTTGTTATTGCCTCAAAAATTGCAGAAAATGTCACGCTCGAGAAGTGTTACCAGAAAAAGTTGAGGAAAGAGAATACCGGGATACACAAATTTGTGCAACAATTGAGGTAGATTCAACACGTTCAAGTAGAAGCGTTGCTAGAGAGTTAGATGTTAGCAATGTTACTGTAACGAAAGTATTGAAAAAGCACGGTTACAAGAATTTTAAATATTCGAAAACGCAGCAGCTTTATCCAGACGATTACTTTTGAAGAATGGAGTTTTGTGAAACTCTAATAACGAAGGCTAATAGTGAACCAAATTTTATTAAAAACATTTTATTCACTGATGAATCTTCTGTTTCGTTAGTAGGGAGACACAATCCTTCCATTACGAGGTATTGGGCACGGGAAAACCAGCACAGAAGTGTTGTTTACTGAACTCAACGTCCTCAAAAAGTTAACGTCTGGCATTTTAGGAGACCACATAATAGGTCCATTTTTTATTGAGGGCAACTTGAATAGTAGAGTATACCTCGATTTGTTACAGAATCATGTTCTTCCCGCTATTCTCAATCTTCCTGATGTAAATCTGGAGAATGTTTGGTTTCATCAAGACGGCTGTTCAGTTTACAACGCTCGAATTATTAGGGAGTATTTAAACAATACTTTCCCGAATCGAGTTATCAGTGGAACAGGCGATATTAAGTGGCCTGCGCGATCTCCAGATCTTACACCCATGGACTTCTTTTTTTGGGGACATTTAAAAAGCATTATCTACGCTCATCCTGAGGCTAGAGCCCAAAATTTGGATGAATTAAAAAATCGAATAAGAGAAGTCTCCAATTCTGTTACAGCAGAAACTCTTTCATCTGTTCGCAGAAGTTTTTATGACAGATTGGGGTACTGTTCAGCCGTAGAAGGTCAACTATTTGAACCATTTCTGTAGGTCATAAAGAATTATTTTTTATTTTATTAGGAATAATATTTTAATTTTCAATAAGAGTATATTTTTTATTTTATCTTTTTAAAGAAATACGCTTTTATTTTTAATTCAACCACAAAAAAATTTTCACATTAATAAAAATCGATAACAATGCATCTAATCGATTAGGTCAGTGCATTTTTATCGAATTTCCTACTATTAAAATCGGCTTTACGTAATGAAACATGAAATCGGACGACAGAGAAGTACATCCCTAACGTTGTTGTGAGTTACTAAACTAAAATAAATGATTTTCTGTCGGTTTAGTTTTTTGGGTCGGAGAACGAACATTTGCAACGTTGCCGATTTTAGCGCTCCGTATAGTGTGCAATACCTAATCAAAAACTTAAGGCACTTTATAAGTGTGTTCTGAAACACAATAAAATGGAAGGTAAATCATTCTGTAAAGTTGGTCCAGCCATTTGAATACTATTTAATGATATGCCTTCAGAAATTATTATATATATTAAAATAAACTTAATTTTAAAGTAAAATTGTGACTGATTCCCAACAAAAATAGTAATTTACATTAAGATGCTATAAGAAGCTTCATAACAATACAATATTTTAAGGTCAAGGTCACCAAGGAAACGCCGTCGTCGTTCTCCAACTCCTCGCCCCACAAAAATCCATATTGGTCGTCTCACCAGAACTGTCAATAAAGAGCATATTCTAGAAATATTTGGAACATATGGCAGTATTAAACATGTGGAATTTCCAAAAGATCATAACCATCCACATTTGGGCGCTTATATTGTTATGTTGAGTATTCTACTGCTGATGAGGCAGAAAATGCAATGAAGCATATGGATGGCGGTCAAATCGATGGACAGGAAATAACAGCAGCCCCTGTGTTGATCCCAAAACCAAGGCCCATGCCTCCAAGGAGATCACCTCTTCCTCCAATTAGAAGAGGACCTATACATAGGAGAACACCCCCTAGGTTTGTATTACTCATTTATTTAATATTATTTGTTTTTTTACTATTGGATACATGTTATTTATTTATTCAATCTATGAGGGCTAAGATAAAAATAATACTTGGTTAAAATACTTTATTTATTACAAAAGTCTCCTAACTTTTTGAGACTGATCCTTACAGTCTTACACTTTTTCTTATGACATCGTGTCCACATGGTGGTTGATGTTCTCCACAAGCCATCTGCATAAATCTTTATCGCAACTTTTCTGCACTTTTCCCTTCGATTATCATGCAAAGAATTGTAACATTAATATCAGTTTGGCTAAGATCCAATGGACGATGCTATAAAATAAAATATTGGAGGCAAATAACACTACTGTGTTAAAACCATGGACATATAAACATAGATGGACACAGCAATAAGATACCTTTAACACACAATGTTTTGAAGCTTCGATAGAATGTGATGCTTCCGCAATGAGCATAAGCGTGCTTGAATTTTTACTCGCGGGTAATTATTCAGATTTTAAAAATTGGAAGTAGTAATAATGTATAAAAACATGTTCAAAGAATTAAAAAAAAAACGAGAGTTTAACTATTAACAAATCACGTCTTTATAGAAAAATTAAAATACAATTTTATTTGCTTTAAAATTAATACAATTAAATATAGTTGAATTCAAGTTAATTTTTTAATAGTATCAAAATAATGCTACAATAAAAAATCTTTATGTTTTCTCCTTAATTTGCTACCCAAATAGTCTGATCGTCAATATTATTTGGAGACCTACATAGAAAAATAAATGAGTTTTATTCATTTCACTAATTTATTTGTATCCATGAGAAATATTAAATTAAAAAGGTACTAAACAGATCTTTTTTAATCAGATGATGTCTACTTACAATTTATAAATGTCTACTAATTTCATGAACTCATATCTTATTCAATACATTAATGAACATGAATAAACCCAATGGTACGCCTATTAAAATGTAAACAAACATGCTTCCTCATCTTAAATAATGTAAATTATATGTACTTACAAATGAAATGAGAGATCGGGAGTTTATTTTATTTCACTTTTCACAAGTATCACTCAAAATACATAATAATGAGGAAACATGAGGAAAAACATAAACATGAAACATAAACATGAGGAAAAATAACTTTTTCCTCATTTACTGTAAAAAGTAAACAAACATGGAACAACATTTGAAGTTTGATGTAGATCCATAAGACAGAGAAATGTAAACAACTGTTGCCATTTATAAATAGTTTTCAGTGCTTCTACATATAAAATAATTGATAGATATCTATTATATGCTAGTATTAAATGATAATGCACACTATGTGCACACTTGATGTTTTGATTACAATTAAATATATTAATATAACCAATAAATTATTCTTTTGGTGTGATAGCACCTGTAGAGTATAAAATACGGAGTAATATTTTCGCGACTCGCGAATAAGAAATTTTAAAACAAAACGTGACAACATTTGAAGGTGCTGAGAATGTGACCTAAATTTTGACTTCACAATTTTATGTAAATAACTGAGTCCATCTGTGTTTATACATCCATGGTTAAAACATACAAAATGTGAAGATAAACTAAATGTACATTTAGTCTACAATTAAACACTTATCTGTGAGTTGATGTAGCTGTTCCTCGCGATGCTTGGTCTCCTGAGAGGAAGTAATGTGGCTGCATCCAATGGTTGCTGTTGTCTATTGTACAAATATTTAATGTGCTATCGTCAATAAATAATTCCCGATTGGATGTTGATGTGTATATTCTATATTTTATAATGGATGGATTAAACACTGCTTCAGCTAATTTGTGACAATCAGTCCCTGCATCTTGTGCGCTGCAACAGAAAGTTTTATACTGTAACAAATGATAATCAAATCAAAAAAAGGGCGCCACCGAGTTTTTCTTTATAGCTTCTAAAAATTGGAAAAAAAGCAGACGAGCAAATCATTAGATCATTAGAACAAGGAAACAAAAGCCTCAAATTTAATATTCCCTCTATTTGTATGAAGATAGTTTGAAAATCCTCAGATAGTTTGGAAAAATATATAACAGATGAGAAGAACGGGGCATTTAGGACCATGCAACAACGGAAAACTAGGACAACAATAGATAGATACAAAAATTTAAGGAGAGAGGAAAAACGCATACACTGAAAAAAGAAACGAGACTCAGAAAATGACATATTAGAACGGCTTGAAAGCTGAGTCACAGAGAAACAAGAAAGTTTTATCATCAAATAAATATTATTAGAAAATAATTCAAACTGAGAATCAACTATTGTAATGACAAGGAAGGTAACTTACTTACCAACAAAGAGGATATCCTGTTACAATGGGTAGAGCACTTTCGAGAGTTGCTGGAAGGGGAACCTACTAACAATATAGAGCTGGAATACCGAAATGAGGAACTCGTGGAACCCCCCTCGGTAGATGAAGTGTAATTATCTATAGAAAAACTAAGGAACCACAAAACCCCAGGCAGCGATGGCATCCCAGCAGAGTTATTTGAGCACAGTGGAGAGCAGCTCACCCAGGTGATGAGAGAAATTGTTTGTAAAATTTGGTCTGAGGAGCAAATGCCTGAAGAATGGAGCTTAGGCTTAATTTGCCCGTTACACAAAAAGGGAAACCAACTGGAATGCAATAATTACCGCGGAATAACTCTCCTAAATACAGCATACAAGATATTGTCATTGTATTTTGCATGTCGCCATAGAAAAAGTTGTACTAGACGCTAATTTAGATAGCAGGAGTACAATATTTAATAGATCTGTCCAAATTCTAGCATACGCAGACGACGTGGACATTATAACAAGAACCACAGCGAGAACTGCGGAAATCCTAACCAAGCTAGTAGCAGCAGCAGAACGAATAGGCTTACATATAAATCAAAATAAAACCAAATTCATGGCGACTAACACAAACACAAGAGCTGGAAATGTTTATGCAGATTTAATCATCAATGACCAAAACTTCGAAGCTGTCAAAGAGTTCATATATCTAGGGACATCAGTTAACCCCAATAATAACACATCTGAGGAAATAAAAAGGCGAATAATAATCTATAAGTCTATCAAAGTACTTAGCTAACAAACGTGTGTCTCAAAAAACTTGTATAAGGCTGTATAGAACACTGATAGTCCCCTTTCTCACATATGGATCAGTGACATGGACGCTAACTAAAATAGATGAATCTCTATCGATTTTTGAAAGTAAGGTGCTACGCGAGATATTCGGATAAATTCGGTCTGTGATAACGGAATATGGAGGTGTAGATATAGCTTTGAACTGCAGAATATCTACAAGCATATGTTTGGTGGTAAAGATATTATCACTATAATTAAGCGAAACGGCCTGCAGTGGGCAGGACAGGTAGCCCGGGCCCGTGAATCGAACATGATAAAAAAGATTATAATATCGCAACCCGTGGGGATGAGAGGATAGGGTAGACCAAAGCTGGGGTGGATGGACAGTGTAAAACACAAGATGCCTAGAAGATCGAAGTCAGCAACTGGAAAATGCAAGCAAAGGATAGAACAGAATGGCATAGAAAGCTTGAGAAGGTTTGATGATGAAGTTTGAAAATCCTCATATACTAACAGAAATTCAGAGAGAAAATTTCATACGAAACTTGACAGATTTTATTCCACCTTCCCAAATTCGGCCAAAATGAGGAGAATAACAGAATGAATTTCCAATACATACCTTTTGTTACATTCATCTTGAATATTACTTTCATTATCCGAATTAATTTGAGTAGGCAATGAAAGTAGTTAAATCAGATAGTAATTCTATATGTACAGATTTTGTACTTAACAGACAAATGTAACCTTTATGGGTTTTACGCCAGCGAAGCAGAAGGGAAATGAAGGTTGAACTCTATATGCTGGAAGAATAGGATTACAGGATGAAATATTTACTTTAAAACAAATTATACAGCTGCGCACAATAGCCTTAGCAGTATTTCTACCGTGAATCGACCAGTATTTTTCTCGAATGAGATGCTGAGGCCCAAATGGAATTCAGATGCATAAACCGAAGTAATAGTTTAGTAACATAATGGTTTGATGGCAGTTTAATTGAATGTCTTTTGTTTATGTCGAACAAAGAATTTTTTAAACTTTCTCAACTCAAATAATAACTTCACTAAGAAATGGACATAGAGACAATATATCACTTTTGGAGGGGCAAGGTTTGCCTTGGGAATGTCTGACATTAAAATAATTTAATTGCACATTTCCCGCATTATGTAATTCTATGGCAGAAAGTACTCCAGATATTTTTTGTGAATTTGAATGCTTAGATTTATGTGTATGGAATGAAGGCAATAGCACAACGCAAGAGACAATTTAAAGTAGAGAATCTTTGAAATGGAAAATCAATTTCAGGTAATCTGAAATGCTACTGAATGGTTTTCCAACTCTAAAAGTTCCTTGCCTAATTGAGAAGGATGAATTGGCCAAGAAATCGGTGCACATTGAAGAAATGTAGGGACATTCCACCATAAGCTAGAAGAACGAAGTGACTGAGAGTTAATGCCTTGTAAGCAAATCTGCAGGGTTTTCTTTCAACTCTCAACTCATTTTCTTAAATTTCGTAATTTATTTTAGGGTGCGGGTTGTTTTCGTAACAATACAGTATATAGAATTCTTTTGATTTTTGACATAAATGTTTATTAGAAAGAATCTTTGACATATTTTAATAGCATTTATTTGTTAGTTCTGTAGATATATACTTCTGATGATGTGCTTAGAGTTGTATTCTTAATAATAATAATAAAATATCTTCAGGTTTAGAAGAAGAATATCTCCTAGACCTATAAGAAGATCGTCCCCTAGGCGTAGACAACATTCTAGAAGTCCACCACCTAGAAGAAGGAAACACTCTAGATCTAGCTCAAGTAGTTCTTAATTACAGCTTCTTAAATCAGAATTTAACTTTTGCATCTATGTAACTTGAATAATAAGACATTTTCAATGTAAAAACGAGTTTTATTAAATGAACTAAATCTAATAACAAAGAAAACTTTATTTTTTCCTATACATTAGTTTATAATAATCATCTGGAGATTTGATATATTTTGAACACAAGACTGAAGTTAAGAAATTACACAGTAGACTGATTATAAAATGGAAGGTCAGAAAACTAAATCCGCAAATGATTACTACACGTGATTGAATATTAAAGCTATTTTATACAAATTAACAAATTATGATAAAACATAATATGAACAGTCTATACAAATTGTCAGTGAATTAAAATGTGTTATGATCGGCACACATAAACAATTTTGCAATTGGGCATTTATACATGCTTAGCTGATCGCGTAGGGTACATTTTTACAATTTTCATAGTTGCAGAAAACGATTTTGAGCCAAACGGCTAGTTTTTAATTATTCTTAAGGCGGCTGCACAATTGCCCGGGAACGGAAACTGAAAGCATCAGTAGATTCACAATTAAGGGTAAACAAGGTGTTTTGTGCTACGAATATTTAAATGTTTTGTCACTGTCACTTGTGCTGTTAATTATTTTTTTCTCAAAATAAATTTTGTGGAACAATCTTTTTCTAATTTTATTAAAAGAGAATAATACAAAAACTGATACAAATTTAACCCTGCTGTTCGATTGGGTTCGATCATGGCTGCAAATGCTGTAACAAGATTAAGGGATAGATTAGCCAACTATTTAATATCTGATGTAGGTTCAGTACCTTGGCAGCAAAAATATATTAATAGGGGATGAATTTATTTTTTTTAATGGAACCAATGTGTATAAAGTATTCTTGAAAAATAAATTTTACTCTACTGGAATGAAAATAAATAGTTCTTTTGCACAGAAAATTACAATAAAAGATCTATATAGTATATCTTTTTAAAATTACAATTTGTTTTTTGGTGTTAATGACTTCATTAACACCAAACATGGTATTCACACTTTTGAAAAAATCGCCTGCACTATTGCTGAATTTCTTAAATTATCGCATCCCAAAGAATACACCGGGCATTGTCCACGAAGGAGTTCAGCCACTTTACTGGCTGATAGTAGTGGTACTATAACCAACTTGAAAAGACACAAATCATGGAAATCAACTAATGTAGCAGAGGGATACGTAGAAAATTTTTTAAGAAATAAAATTCACATAGCTTTACAAATTGAAAATGGCCGCAACCAAGTTAATATCTCAACAAATATTAAAAGTACTGACACGTCTAACACTAATTTCAATACTGCCACTTCTGTTAATATTCCTAACAATATCAATAATTGTTGTAATTGTGTTATTAATATTCATAAGTAGATTTTTCTAATGTTGAATCCACGAAAGTAACTTTAAAGTGTTTAATAGAAGTTCATAAGTAAAGTTTATCCACATATTCAACATACAAAACGGCGGCAGAAAAAATATTGTACGTAACACGATCCAAAATAATTTTACGAGACTCAGGATTCCAGGACGAGCCGTAGGTGGGTCCTGGAAACTTCCTACTCGTCTCATAAAATATCCCTTTCGGAACTTGTTACATAAATTACTAGTAACGTACGTATATAATTTGTTTAGAATATAAATAATGGAATTACTTTATTCAATTTTAAAAATACAGACAATATAGTAAGTTTTCGCGCTAGTCCACAGTACCACATACTGTACCACTTTTTTTTTAATAAAACTGAAGTGTATATCGCCATGCTTAACCAATGTGAGTCACCGTCCAGGTAAAAAGTCCATTTATTGTTTTTGAAGTTCATCAAATAAACAAAAATTTTTAATTGTCAAAAGTCCAAAAATATAAAAAAATGAATAAAAGAACTTGACGATGTCGATTAATATGATGAATTTCGTATTAAAAAGAATTATTCATATATGGATGTAATTTTCGTTACAACCATTTGTAGCTTAACCCTATATAGACATAATAGTTAATATGTATTATTTTTTCGGAATTCATAATTTGTTACTAAAAGTAACTTAAAAAGAATTACGACATATAAAGCTAAAACAGAAAATGTTTTAAAGCTAATCCAAACAAAGAAACAAATTTTTCTTAAAATCTTGGCTAATCCAAATAAAGAAAATTATCTAAATGAGCTTTACCATAATCTTTATGAAACTATATTGTTTGTTCGATGTTCCACCTTGGTTAATGATAAAAAATAATTCTGCGCGCGTCTCCATAGAGGTATAGTTGTCGGTAAAATAAAATTTTACTACACGACTGTTTGCACTTTAATGTATACTTGCAAATTCGTTCATGTGTGCATAGCATTAGAGTAGAAAAGAGTAAACACAAACGCAAACTGTTGAAATAAATTGAAATAAATAATACCATTTTCATTTTTTTTTGTTTTTTCCAATACCCATGTTTTAAGCCACACTACATTTCATTTTAAATAAATATATTGAACGGTTACATGAATTATTTTTTAGTAGAATATGATTGTGTAGTTTGGAAGTAGATTATGAGTTTCTCAAGGTAACAAAAAATTATCATTCAGCTGTTACGAAATTATTGTAGGTACCTTAAAAACCAACAATAAATTTTGTGAGAAAATATGTATTTACCAAAGAACTTACAAAAAGGCAAATTTGATTCCGATACTATCCTTGGAAAAATATGGACAACGTTAGGAGAAATAAGGAACAAGTTGGCATTGCAAGACGAACAAACAAGTAACATCTTGTAGATGATTACAAATCAGATATGTTCAATAGTGTACAAATTATGTTATATATGTCAGGACAGAGCAGGATTTGTTAGTGACGAGATTATTGATGGTCTTAAAAAAGAGGATCCATCCTATGGCGCTACAGTCCAATTCGAGCCCTGGCCTCCCTCATCAAACCTCTCCATCCGTTACAGTCGGTAGCCATTCTCCTAGATAGAAATTTCTATCGTTCTCATCCACATCATTCGCCCATCGCTTTCTCGGTCTTCCAGTAGGTCTCTTTCCCTGCATTCTTGCATTCAACAGTTTTTTTGGAAGACTATTTTCTTCCATCCTAAATACATGGCCTCCCGTTGAAGACGCTGTAGGCGGACATATCGAGATGAAGAGTTCTTTATATATATTATATATTTCGTAATTGTACCTGATTCGCCACCTGTTATTCTAATTTATAGAGCCTAGTATTCGTCTCAGTACCTTTCTTTTAAAGATGTCTGAGCAGATTTTTGAGTCAACACCCAAGTTTCACATCCATAGCTCACTATCGATCGGATTATGGTCTTGTAGATTCGTATCTTAGTTCTTTGATGTACGTCACGTGATTTAAATATCGGGCTTAGAGCAAAATAGCCGTTGACTCCTAAATAGATAAAACTATATACTTTTTTTAATTTGTCAACTGTCAGGCAGGGTCGTGTTGCTCTCTCCGATTGACCTTGTACTAAGATCTTTTTGTTTATAGACAGACCTATTTGATTAGCATGTGATTTAAGTTCCGTATACGCCTCACCAGTTGCTTTCGTTCTCCTTATAATATTTATATCATTTGCATATTATGCTGCCAGTTTGAATGCTTTATTGGTAAGTGTGTTGTTTCTACCTTCTGATGTTCTTGATACTATGTATTTCAGTGCTAAATTAAACCATGTTGGCGCCAGCTCATCACCTTGTTGTAGCTCCAAGAAGGAGCTAATATTCCTTTTGCTAGAACAGAAGCAACAGAACAGACAGAGCAACATGCAGATTCTGCGTAAATGCTACGGAAACGAACAAACATATATTATCTACAACTTCAGGATAGGTCTTCTTAGAATCTGATGGGATCAGAATATAGAAATGGGTCTTTTTAGAATCTGATCAGGTAGCAAACATAGCTTTCGGACAACACACTTTCTCAGAAGTCGAGATATTCTTAATTAAGATATAGATATAGGATATATACAAAATATTTTTCACTGTGGAAAGGTCTATGAGGCCAAAAAATCTCTTCTAAATAATACAATCTTTGTTTATTCAATAAAGTTCCATAGTATGTTACAGCCTTATTTACAGAAAAACATCTGTGCGTTGGTAAAAAAAAGACCAGTTCTTATTACAGTAACATATCACAAATGACCGTTATGACCATTCTACCAAGTCATGAGAAACACGGACCTTTTTGAAGAGTCAGATCAACTGATCATTTAAGAGGCCAGGGTCTCGGGCTATTTGGCTCTTTATAGTATAACAAGCTATCTAAGAGAGTCATGAATATTCAGCTCAGGAGGACACTATTGTTCCGAGAGGTTTATTGTTCCATAAACAAGGACTCTACCTGTTTTATGAAATGATCCCTTGTTTATGTAATTTCACACCTCTAACAATAGCACCACGCCGTACTGAATATTAATGCCCCTTTTAAAAAGCTTGTTAGACTATAATGATGTAATACCGTCATAAAAGAGTTTATTAACAACGAACCAATACACTTTTAACGGGTCTGAATCATTTAGGAGGCCCGGGTCTCGTGTCATTTGGATCTCTACTGATGGAAGTACTGTTATAAAAATAAAGTTAATTGTCAAGGGTTGGCAATCGATAGGATTGAAGAAAAAGACTAGAGAAGATCGAGCTGAAAAAAATTCTTTTGCAGAAGTAATCCCAGTCTTCTTACAATCGTTGATACCGATAAAAATTAAAAAAAAAAATCATTATAAAACTTTGACATGTTAAATCAAGCTCCTGTTTGTGTTTACCCTAGGAAATTGAAATGTATTAAATCAAAGATTGTGGCTTGATACTTTCCCAAATTGAAATGAATGAATTAGTCAAGCAAATCAATTAGCATTTATAATGGTAATATAGCACGTTTAATTAATAAATTACGCGAAAAAGTTGATATATATATAATATTTTTGAACTTTCCCAAACTGTCACAATGCAATTACTGTTACTTCAGAATTATTGTAAACACACACACACACACACTCACAATATTCCTCTTACTAGAGAGTATCTAGAAAAGGCAACTGCTGACATATATGTTTTTATGCAAGATTATTGTATGCAACAATTCTATTGTATTAACTGCAACATTATAAATGTTAATGCATGAAGAAGAAACAAGTTTTTTTATTTCTACCATAACCCATGTCGTGATTGGTAAAATAAGATTTTTTTTATCCGGGAACTAAACTACCAACGGGTAGGTCTGTCTTAAGAATGAAAGATGAAGTCGCCACGTTTGGAAAATCTGTGAGACAACAGGGAAGAAAAAAAAACGCTTCCTGAACGACGTGGAAGTAGATCTACAGGTAATGTAAAATAAAGAAGAGTAACCCTGAATAGGCAACGCTGGAAGAATCTTATAAGAGAAGCAAGAAGAAGATTTGGACCAACAGACAGAGCCCGGAGGTACACGAAAGCTGTGAATAGTGCCGTAATTTAGGAACATCATCAGTGGGAGAAAAGATCTTCTTCTTCTTCTTGAAGTGCCTATCCGTTTCGGATGTTGACGACCATCATTGCAATCGGTACTTAGCACACTGCTCCTCTAAAAAGATTTGTAGTTGTTGTGTTGAACCACGTACGTACATTTTTCAGCCAAGAAATCCTTCGCCTTCCTGATACCTGTTTTCCTTCTATTTTCATGGATTTTGATATCATCGGATGCTCCTGCCTCTGTACGGATAGTCGATGTTTCATCCAATAAAGATTGCTAATAATTCTTAGTTCAAGGGTGTTCCAATATCTGTTAATATCTCCATCAGCTTGTCGTGCTTTACTGTATCGAACGCTTTATGGTAATCAATGAAGCATGCACAAATATCGCAATTGACGTCTCTGCATCATTGAAACAGCACTTGTATGCTAAAGGGCCTCTCTCATACCCACTGCATTCATAAAACCAATTGTTATTACATATTTTTGTTAAAAGTTAATCTTAAATAATTTTATGAGTACAGCATATGCATTGTCAGGTCCAGGAGCTTTGCCACCTTTTAGTTGTAATATTGCTTTTGTGCATTTCATCTGATGTGATTGGTAAGTGGTCATTACATATGTAGTATGGTAGTTGTTCGGACCTATTAACATCAAAACGTTTTTGTATGTAATTGGTCCATATACAAATTTTTGATTTTTATCTGTGATGATGTTCTGTTGATCTCGCAGTTTGCTAGGTGTGTTGGATTTCTGAAGACCAGCTGCTTGTTTAACTTCTTTATGTATATTTAATGTATCGTGTTTTTCTTCATATAACTCTATCTCTGCACTCTGTGATTTTAACAAATTTTCTTTGGCCTTTCGTATTTCGGTTCTTCGTTGTCTCTGAATATTTTTGTACATTATTTTGTTGCTTTTATTTTCTTCTTTCTTCCATGAGTTGCAGTATATTGTCATTCATCCATATGAAATATCAGGAAGAAATAATTCCACCCAACGGCCTATAGACTCCGAAAATATACCATTACAAAAATCAGCCGAGAAAGCCAACACTTCACCAAGTAAGTTTAGGGAATATTAAATCCACACATCAAGAATGTCTCCATTAGTTGAACTAAAGTTGGACTTCAAAGAATAGAAATCGGTAATTTCTCTATATAAATATTTCTGAATTATATAAAAAAGAACAGTATTATTAACACCCGAAACTACTGTCACTTTACGGTCTGCAGGCAAAACATTTAAACTGAAACTTCTATTTTTGTCTTTGTAACAACTAAAAATCTAGTCGCATTTGCTATTGGCAGAATGGCTGTAATTATTATAAATTAAATACCAATTGTTTTGCTTAACAATCTCTCAACAATATTACCCCAATAACAAAAAAATGCATTTGCAATCAAAGGCTATGAGGAATACGATTGTACCAAAAAACTTAGCATTATTTTGTGATTGAAAAGTTTTGTAATACATTTATTTCATTATGTAACGACATCATTCGCAACACCGGTAATTATATAGTTGGTCCTATTATACGACTATCGATCTATTAAATAATCATGAAAAGTCAAATATGACAAAGGTAACTTACATCAGCAACTTCTCAGCACTCCAGATTTCGGTATATTATTTTAGGCGGACATTGTACGGTGACTTAATTGATATAATGCTCTGGGTACGTATAGAACAAATTATTAGATACAAATTGATAATATGCTATGGACCGATTTATAGTTGGCAGAAATAATCAACAAATATAATTATCAAATTATTGTTTCAGTGTTTGCTTTTTCAATTCAAAGTTCTCTCTATTTTACTGTAATGGAAACGCTTGAAAATCAAAAGAGAAGAATTTTATTACTTTATATAATGAAAAAATAATAAAAAAATATTTTACTGGAATATTTCTACAATTCTTCTATGAATCAATGCTTATTCTGACAACTAAAAAAGTGTAAAACCGTTCATTAACGATCCCGTAATATTTTTTCTGATTTCATATTTATATTTATTCTACAAAATATTGCTAATCCTTTGGTACAGCATTGCTTTAAGTGATGAAATATATGAAAATAAAATGTCATTGACTATATAATCCCTTCTGTGCTCTAACAGACTGAACACAAATATTACCAAAACGGACACCAACCAATGTAACACTGACATAAATTTTCGTTACTAGTCGCCTGTTGAATGAGAAGATCCACTTGCTTTTCAATTGTTAGGGATTCTTCTACGCTGAAATCGTTACCCGTTAATTTATCTCGAACTCGGTTGATGATAGCCACAGCTTTTTTGTTCACTCCTTCTGGTTGTGATCCTTCACTTACAATATCTGCCAAAAGATTTTTCTTATTTATGGTCATGCTTAGAGACTCTACTAAATCTTGGTCTTGTGAGGTACCTAGAGAAGAGAAAATTAAATGAAACTTTTATATTAAATTAAAATATAGCTAATGTGCATGCTCTAATAAGGGTAAATATATTTATACATTAACTGTACACATTTACAGATACAAAAATAAGCATTTGAGAATTTTGTAGTTTTTTTATACATATTTAAACAACATCGTAAAATTCTTCCTTTTTCTCTTCTTCTTCATTCTAGAGTTTAGAAAGCCAACTTTGCTCGATCTTTTTATAAGGTGCTCTATATCATCTATATCAGACTGTAAAAGTAATATAATTATTTCAAGTTTTCTTCACTGCGTTTAATTCTGGGCATAGTCTCGCAATTGGCAGAGAGTTATAGATTTTAAAGGGGTCGTTTTGGGTATATCCTAAATCCTAAATGTTTTAATCCAACAGATCTAGATTTCCAATATAACCAATTATCTATTTCGTAGATAGATACCTGTTTGTTACCTGATCAGGTTTTAAAAAGATAAAAAAGAGGTTAGGTTAGGAGATATGTTTGGTCGTGTATCCAAGTTCAGTTTTACGAAGCTTTCAGATTTTTTTTTTTCGTAGAGTGCAGAAGATTGTACTAATTTTTTGCTTGCCTTTGGTCTGGAATATTTTCCCAGTAGCCTGCTAGGAAATGTCCCTTTTTCGTTTTCGGATACCTTCCACGATGCGACTTTTCGGAATAAGTTAAACTGGCTCCGTTACAGGTGCCACTTAAAATCTCGTCAAATAGCTAAAATTTAACTCAATAACTGATACACAAATAATAAGTCCACAATTTAGATTCGTCACTTTTAGTTGCATTAACTATATTACAACTATGGGAAATATTGTATGGTCTACATTATATGTCAGTTGTTCTATATCTAACAAATCAGTACAAATCCTGGCCTATGCTGATGATATCAATATTGTTGAGAAAACGGAAAACTGTGTACGAGAGGCATATGTAGCAGTAATAGAATAAGCTACAAAAATGGTTGAATATTTTATTCAAACGAATGGGTACCGCTTTTTGCAAATAGGGTAATTTTATGTACTTTAGAATAAACAAAAATACCCACTTTATCTTTACGAAGTAAAAGCTGAGTTTCTTTTTTTTTACATACACGATCTACAGAATTGGATTATATGGTATTACGTAAACCATAATATATAACTAGATATTTTTCAAAAGATCATCATCATAACTTGCTTGACAACCCTTTTTGGGTCTTGACCTGTTCTAGGATTCGTCTCCATTCTGATCTCTTTGTGCTTTCCAATCTTATATGTTTAGCGAATGGACAACATTTTGAACATCTAAATTAATGATACTTAATGAGTAAACCGTTTGTGGATTATAGATTCTATTAATTTAGTTCCTTTTATTTACGTTGATTCAATTAAGTTTTGCTATTGTTTTTGAAAAATTCATTGTAATGTACATAGGTTTTGTGTCAAGGAAAAATTTAAAACATTACTGAAACATAAGCCTTGCGTTCAATTTTTAAGAGGTGGATATAGAGGTTGTGATAGGCCTTTTACACAAAAATGGAAAAAAGGTCATTAAAGTGCCTCTCTAATAATAACAAATATTACATTTCATGTATCTTGAAGACAGATTCTCTTTGGTACTGTTTTAAAATTTACGTAAAGTCTAGTTATCAGTGTGGACTGTTTAGTGGTCAATTTCGTATAGTCCCAGCCAGAAAATATGACTAAAGAGCACTAAACTCGATGGGTTAGTATTGTGAAGGATGAATGGCAAAATTTAATGTAAAGCTAGACAGTTTGTTGTGATTGTTTAAAAGATTTTAATTTGTAAATAGGTTCAGAATAGATTGTACCATTTATAAACGGTATACAAAAAATGATTTGATTTTACCTGTTGAAAATGATCCAATTTCTCCTGTGGTTGATTTATTTTTCATAGTAGTATCCATCAACCTCCAGTTTAATAATGGATCGTAAACGAAAGCTTCCAAAACAGCCATAAGACTGTCTTTATTTCGGTGTAACACCGACATGACAGATTCACAGGTTCTTCGATAGGTTCCGTCTATACCAGTCACTTCCATAGCGTTGATGAGCATACGAGTCAGTCTGAAGGGAATCTTTTCTGGGAATTTCTCTCTCGTCATTGCCACCTCGAAACAGTCACCAAAATCAATGTGGAGGATCTTGCCACTTAATCTGAAATATAAAAAACATAAGTAAATACAAAATTTTGATTATTTCAAAATAAAACAAAACAAACAAAATAAAAATCAAATACTTTATTAATGAGAAGTGTGCAGTTGTTTCTGGTTAACTAAATACTTCACGTTTGGAGGAAAAGATGTTAATTTTATCCTTAGGTCCGGTTCGACTTCCAAACGGTTGCTATATTTATTTTGAGAAAAACCAGTGTCGAATGTTTTAAAAAGCACCTAGCAACTATCTCATTTCCAGAAATTTAATTTTTATTATTTTTGTGGTTGTATTAAGTTAAGATTACGTGTTTTGTAATAATTTATTCGTTTATTTTTATTAATATTATAATAAAATTCAATTTTATTATACATAATTACATCAGTTTTTTTGCACTGCCAAAAATGACACCAATACATTTATTCTGCCCGGCCCACCTAAAATTTTGTTGTTTTCTGGGACAACTGAATACGTCACCATATGTCAAACTAATATAAACCGTGCCCATGGTAACTTGAAGCAAGCAATATCAAATGGTTACAGGTGGGCACGCGGTCTTAAAGGAAACATTGAAAATGCCCACCGGTGGACATATACCGCTAAATGTATTAAAAAAAAAAGATATAAGAGCATGAAAAGTAAAAAAACAACGACCATTCGATTCCAAAATCAATAGGCTTCTTTCTTAGACCAAGTTTAACCTATTTAGTACATTAATGTTTGTATTTTGATAACCATTTCCGAAGTGGAAATTAAAATATGAATAAACTTATTTCAAACTTCAATTGTAGCTAATTCCCATTAAAATAGTAATTACTTTAAAACATCTTCTTGTTACATTGATACCATTATTACGTAAGGAGTAACAAAACATTCTTAATTAATAATATAAAATATTCACTATATATTTAATACCAAAAGAATACAAACCTGTCAAGCATAAGATTACTTGGATGTCTATCACCCAATCCCAATATATAACCTACAATCGACATCACAGCCAAAGATCTAGTATAATTTGTTCTTCGATCAAACCATACTTCCGAGGAAGGACTCTTTAGCCACAATAACTTAGCCAAATCGTCTCCGTGTGTATGTTCAAGAGCATGTTCGAAAACTTCCACTTTCTGCATAACCGTCAAATGATCATAATCTGCTGCCATCCTCAGCATTATCCTATGCTCTATGTTCAACAGAATTTTCTTCTTGTCTCTGTACTCTCTAATGAGAGTGTGTAATGTATCACAGTGAGGTACCCAGCCTAAAAAGTTAATATAAAATTTATGTATGTAGTTCTATTCAAACATCGTTTTATTGAATATACAGTATATTGAATAGATATTATACCTGAAAAAATACAGCTTTTTATCCCGAATACCCGAAAAAGATCGCTTGTGTATTCTTAAAACATATTTCTACACCTAAACAACTTCTTTTTTACCAAAAACCAATGTACTTAACTTTGACGATATCAACATAAAACATAACATTACAAAAGAATTTAAAATAGAATAAAAAAAAACATCGGAGAACAACTGGAAGATCCAGAAGAACTATAAAGTAAATTTAAAACCAAGTTAACGAAATCTCCACAAACAATGATTATAGAAAAAACTTCATAAATGGATGACAGACATTTTAAAATTAATGAAACAACGTCGACTGATAAAATCTAATGAAACAGAATATAGACACCTGCAGAGAAGAATAAAAAAGGAGATCAAATTAGCCAAAGAAAAATGGATGAGAGAAAGGCGCGACGAAATGGAAGATGTAATATCTAAACACGACTTATTTAATGTGCACAAAAAACTAAATGAAATGAGTTACCTCTGTACTAGTTGACAATAGTAACAAAATTATTGTAAATGAGCACGAAATAAGAAAAGAATGGCAGCTGTATATATCAAAGTTGTTTGAAGATGACAGGAATAATATTGCCGAATTCTACCAAAACTCTACTGACGGCCCAGAAATTATGAAATGCGAGGTAAAACACGCTATAAATAAGCTAAAATTAGAAAAGCTTGTAGTCCAGATGATACACCAACTGAGTTGCTAAAGCTAATAGAGGATGATAACATAAAAGTAGTAGTAAGACTTTTTAATTCAATATATAACACCGGAGTGATTCCCACAGATTAGCTCAAATCCATCTTTGTCGCAATACCTAAAAAACACAATGCGAGAAAATGCTCAGAATATCGATTAATTAGCCAATGAGCCACACTCTTAAAATTTTCCAATACCTCACAACAGAATTAGACGCAAATGCGAAAAAGATCTCGAAGATACCCAATTTGGTTTTAGAAGTGATATAGGAACCAGGGAGGCACTTTTTGCGTTTAACATCGTTTAACAAAAGTGCCGTGACCAAAGAAAAGATGTATTTGCATGTTTCGTGTACTTCGAAAAGGCATTCGATAAAGTACAGCATCTAAAATTAATGCAAGATACTGAAAAATAAAAATTTGTACTGGAATCAAAACGCTATAGTAAAAATTGGAAATAAGTATACCGATGAAATCTCCATACAACGACAAGTCAGACAAGGTTGCATTTTGTCGCCAACATTGTTCAATGTCTACTCGGACTAGTTATTTAAAAAAGTACTTGAAAGACAACCATATGAAATTAAAATCAACGGGGAACTACTTAATGTGATAAGTGATAATATTGAAGGTCTCGAAATTCTGCTTGATTATATTCACGAGGTAGGAGAGGAAATGGGCATTAACATAAACTCAAACAAAACCAAATTTTTAGTGTTTAGTCGTGACCCACATCCCGATGCAAAGCTTCAATTAAACGGAGTCCAAGTTGAGAAAGTTCACAAAATGACATATTTGGGAACTGTGCTAACGGACCAACTAGATCCAGAGAGAAATAAAACGTAGAATAGCAATGACTAAAACTACTTTTATGAAAATGAAGTCATTTCTTTGCAATAATAATAAGTCCGTACTTTCGTATAGTGCAGAAGTGTGGACACTAAACGTATCGATCATGGACAACATTGAAGCATTGGAAACGTGGGTTCATAGACGATGCTAAAAGTACCTTGGACAGCAAGGAAAACTAATGAAGAAGTACAAAGGAGCGTCAACAAAGATAGAGAACTACTAAAGACTGTTAAACATCGAAAAATGTCTTATCTGGGAGATATAGTAAGGGGAAGTCAATATAAAATATTACAACTGATCCTTAAAGGCAAAATAGAGAGTCGTAGAGGTGTAGGAAGAAAACAAGTTTCTTGGTTAAAAACATTCGTGAATGGACTCAGATATCAAATGCAGGACAATTATTCCATATTGCAGAAGATCGAGAGGCCTTCGCAATCGTGATCGCCAACGTCGGATAATTCTGATATGGCACGCGAAGAAGAATAAACAACTTCTTAATTTACAGCCCGATATGAGATATAAGAAGGTTTTCGTACGCCATATTAGAATAGATCTTAATGAGATAAATGATGAAGAAAATCTTTAGTTTAACGTTTCAGCCCTCTTATTTATTTAGCCCTTAATTTCTATATTAAATTAAGTACTTGATACAATTTAGGTTAATGATTGCAGACAACACTCTTTGATAATTTGACTTTTACCGCCTATTTACCCATAAGGATTTAGTTTAGAAAAATATACCGAGAATATTTATTCCTGCTTTGGTTATTCAGGGTCTTGTGCGAGACACTGAAATACACCTATTATCATTTTCTTCTTATGTACCAATAATAATTCTACCACAAACTAAACAAAATGCGAAAAGAGTATATACCCAGCCTAACTATCTAAAAGATCTCGAAATACTACTGGAATTATTCCGAAAAACCTCTTAGAGAACTTAAAACAGCTGGGTCTTAGTAAACATCTCTATAAAACCATGCAAAAGCGAAATCACTCTTAACAAAACTTCTGGGAGATACTCCGGCGTACTCGGTCACCTAAGGCTAGATAATGAAAGAGCACCACCAGAGTTCAATCGTTTTGATACCGTTTAAGGGTTTTCATTTAATATATACCAATTACTGGAGTGACGATTATGTTTTTTATTTATAAGTATATTTTGGTAGTGATAGTTTAGTAATTGTTCAAAAAATAATATGCATTTTGAGTTTAAAAAGGTTTTATAATTTTTCATATAATTATAAATTGCCTACGTATTAAAAATCTTGTTGACCTTAAAGACTTTAAACGAAATTGATATGATGAAAATATGAAATTTATTTAGTTGCCGGACTGGCAGAGTTATGTTAAAATCATAATTTTAATAGAAAATAAATAAAGAGGAAGAATGCTTGATGTTGAAATTTTGAAAATGATTTCTAAACTATCAAACTTACCAATAAGACCAGAATTAGTACTGAGAGGTATAACCGCATATCGTTGAATGGTTAAATTTCGGCGGAACGTATCAGGATCTTTTAACAGTAATGTATTAACCAAACCGAACAACTGCATTACTCGTTCATCTTGTCTTAAATCCTCGTGTCCTTTGAGTAGGAACATGTAGTCTTTTCCGTTGCTGCCACGTATTACAAGCTTTCGTGGACGTTGCTTAGACGTGATTACCTAAAAAATTATAATTTGTTTAGAAGCTGAGAAGACTATTAAATATAAACGGAGAAAGCATAAAAATATTAAAAAAGAAAAAGATAAGAAAAACAGAACACAAAAAGGCACAAACAATTGTACTTGACATGGTGGAGATATATGATAGGAAGCACAGATAAAAGCGGTTTATCTATTGTAAGCTATATACATGAAGCACATAATATAAATACTACTATGATCTCTTTTATAGCACAACACGCCTTTGGGTTGCCTGGCTCTAAGTCTATGTATCCCGTTAATCATTTTCACTTAAATTTATTTCTGACATTGCTTTGGTGATTAGGTGTAACCATGTTGTAGGTGGTGTACCTCGTTTTCTTTTTTGGGAGTCGTTCCTCTCCCATTGGCCTTACTTATCCACATCATATTAATTTTGCTTTGCTACACGTTGTATAATCGTTTCTTCTACTTCCATTTGCCTCCTGATTTCTTTTTGGTTTCGAATATGCTCCAGTCTAGATCTCCTTGTTGTTCTTCAAAAGTCCATTTCGATTACTAGTAGGTCGTTGTTTTACTTTTTTGTCAACTGTCAAGTTTCTGAGTTAAAAATAATAACCGGTCGTAATTTGGTATTGTATATTCTCTTTTTTGTTTTAGGTCTCTTTATACCTTTCTATAATTTTTAGTTTTATGCCAAGATATGCGCATTCATTGTGATTTTTAATTTTATCTCTTTCTAAGTCTAGATCGCCAGAAGATATATATTATGCTTTTTCCGTATTAACTTCCAGTCCCCAATCTCGATATTTCTAAGATCGTCTGCATATTTTAGCGTATACAGTATCCCCAATAGGCAAACCCATATCACCACATTTTTTCTTCCAAGTACTCCATCAATATATGAGACGGTAAAAGGAAAAGTAGTGTAAGTCACTTTTTTTGTACAATAGAGATAAGTGCATATTCAAAATCTACATATTCAAATCCATCAAAAGTAACAGTGCTGTAGGTCATAACTCTTCCATTTGCTCACAGATAGCAACACAAACTTGACAGTCAAATGAAATCTCTGTTGTAATAGAGGGAAAAGTGATGCAAGTCAGACTTACACCACTATTCCTCCATGCATATGACAGATGTTTAGTATTTTGCAGTTGTGATTTTTAAATACAATGGATGGCGACAGTTTAAGTGATGTGAGTGATGAGCCTAGTACTTTCGCTTACTTAGGAGATTAGTGGGTACCTTCTGATTCTGAACAAGAAGAAAGTACTGGTAAGTTAAACTTGTGTACTATATTTTTTTATAAAATCAAAACTAACCTCAAAATGTCAAATTCTCTACACTAACAATAAGCAAACTGCTATAAATAGGCAATAATAAAAATAATTAATATATAAATAAACAACGTTTTTGAGTGTTATTTTAATAAAGTTGGTTTGTTTCAGACAGTGAATTCAACGGAAATCTCTCCCAAAGGCCATGAAAGGGAAAGTAATAGAGAAGTAGAACTTCAACAACCCAAGAGAGCACGAAAACCACAGAGGCATGAAAATAAAAAAAGAAAAAGAAAGGGGCTCCGCAACTCAGGTTGTAAGTATAAATAAGACAACAAAAAGAAAAGTAGTGCCAGGTAAAACTTTTTCAAACAACTGTTTTTGCAGTAAAAAATGTTTTGAAAAAATAGTATGTGAACACAGAAAAAAAGCATTTGACTCATTCTGAAAATTGAAATCATTTACTGCACAGAATGTGGTTTGATAAAATAAAAGAAACCTGAAGTAAAACGTTGTAGGGATCAGTCACGATCTGGTAAGACAGTGTCTAACCAATATTTCATTCATAAACAAGGAGAAAACAAGGGCCATTAATAAAAAATGGGGAACCAGCTGATTCAGATAATCGAGGCCATGCTATATCAACTAATAAAATATATGAAGAACGTATGAACTGTGTCCGAAAACATATTGAAAATTTTCCATCTTACCAATCGCACTACACAAGGAATAGGAATCCCAATCGTTGGTATATCTTCTGACCTTAATGTTACTCTGCTGTATCGCTTGTACAGTGAGTACTGTCCCCGTTTCTAGTGACATATATCGTCGTACATTCAATAATGAATCCAACCTGCATTTTCATGTACCACAAAAAGATAAGTGATCTAAGTGTGATGCTTACAAATTAAAAAAAGCTGCAACAACAGATGATAATGAGATAAAACAGATTAAAGTTCAGCACGAATTCCATCTTGGAAGGCCGAGCTTGTACGCACTTCTATGAAAAATGATACAGAAAAGACCCAGACTGGCGATTCTTACTATGCATTAACTTTTTACCTAGGGAAAGCTCTAGCTTTCCCAAAGCTACCCACATCTATCGCATACTATAAACGTAATAAGGGTTGCCACGAGTTATTAGTCTATTGATTATATTAAAAGAAATAGGACCAAAAGGAACGACAAAGGTAAAGGGGTTTTATTTTTTTAATTTGGTCAATGGACCCCAAATATGAAAAACCGCGGAGTACTACTATGCGGAGTACTACTATTTAAAGAGGTACGTTTTTGAGAAAGGAGTGAATTTGTCCCTATGCACTAGGGTGCATTTGGGTGAATTCTATGCAGTGTTCGTACATATACATCTACAAAAAAGTTGTTCAAAATTAAATTTCCTATCGAAATATCAAATTTTAAAGTCAAAATAATTATTTTTGACAAAAATATATTCAAAAACGAAGCAAAAAAAACAGAAACCCACAATTTTTCTTTTTTGCCCCATAACTTTTTTCCACTGGGATATAGGGATAGTCATTGCTTAAAAAATCATTATCCTTCCTTTTCAAAATGACATTTAGTAAAAGCCTTTAGAATCCACAGTATCCGAGATACAATTTTTCAAAGTTTGCACTCACACCATTTTTGGGTCATTTTTCCTCTTTTTTTTTTTTCGCAAAAATTGTTCTACAACTATTTTCTACGCAGTTTTACGCGTTCTACGCATTCTCATTTGAAAGTACAACAGTCAATGTCGAGTTCCTAGAGTTCCTACACCGAAGAACCTTTTTTCCTCAAAAATTCGCCACCCTATAATAAAGCATAGACGAATATTTGACAAATAATATTTCAATATCCCTATCCAATGTAATAGAGTAAACAAGTTATTATGATCGATGATACGAATATATACAAAACATCAATAGATATAAAAGTTTACAAGGTTTGTGTTGCAGTTATAAATAGTTACATACCTCAAGTGATTTATTGAAATATGCAATTCTGACGATATTTTGACCCGGGGAATAACTACCAGGCACCGCTAGTTCCAGGTCTTGGCACACCAGTAGGTTTGGAGAGACGTACTGTAGTTCTAAAGATGTTAATTGTGGTAATTGCCTAGATATTCTTCTGAATACATGGTAGTATAAGTCCCACGCCTGATTTAAGTCACGAATGTTACCGGATATCTAAAATTTAAATACAGAATATTAACTTTAAATTATTTTAAAGGCATAGATATCTTTTTTATGAATCCAGCAATAAAAGTATATTTTTGTATGTTTGAACTTGCCCTGTATCTTTGACACCATTCGTATGCTTCGCCTAAATCTCTTCCATAAGCTTGAGTGAAGCTTGTTTCTTTCAACGTCTCTGGGCCTCTATGCGTCATTGTATGAAGAGGCTCTAATATCCTCAACATTCCTTCCACGTTTCGTTCTCCGAAATAAAGCCTGAAAAAATACCAGTTTTTAGTTCATTTTTTACATTTACATTTCATTTCATTTACATTTCATATTTTACAACGAATTTAAAAATCACGTATTAAAATGTTATGTACATTAAATTCTTCTCCATGTACTACTTAGAAGAGCTACGAATAATAGCATGAAAAATATAACATATTAGCATTACGTTCGATAACATTTCAACAATATTTCCGAAATATGTACATGATCCTAAGTCTAATAATTACATAATAAACTTACAAAGAAGTAAAATCTTCTTTGATCTTTCAGTCCTGTCGGACCATCATCAGTGAAACTTTCCAAAAACTTTCAAAAGTAAGTATTTCCACGGTTATATGAATTGTACAAAGAGTTAAAAGTTTGTCTTCTTTCTTCTTCATCTTTTTATATAGACATGGTATCAACTGTTAGACTCAATGTCTTTTTTCGAGCGGGGATCTGTACGTTCCCTTAAGGTAAATCCTGTAATATCGATGTCGTGTCACCACATTTTATCTGGTGACCTGATAAGTATGTCTAATGACTTCTATTAGGGCGCTGCGATCTTAAAATTAGTTGTAGACAGACTGCGCTGACTCGGCCAGTCGGCAATCTTACACTTTTGGCCAAGAAGCACCTAATACTCCACAATGAGAGATCGAGAGAGTGTTCTAGGAAATCTAACCTTTTTTAGGTATACATGTCACATTTTAGCGAGATACAGGCATTAGTATATTTTTGTCAGCTGCATAAATTTGACGTGTTTGGAAAAAATACGAATATGGAGAAAAACAATTTCCATCTTTCACTAAACATTATTATACGAGAAATAAAACGGCGAAAGAAACTACAGAATGGCTGCATTAGCTGGAAATTGATCAGAAGCATGATCGTATGACCACTTTTCCGCAGTGTTTGGACCTTATGAAGCGCAATGCGCTGGACTTCTGGCATCGATAGGTAGGTGTTAAAGAATCATCGATCTATTAGTACACACCAGAGGACAGCATGTGGACTGAAGCCGGCAAAAGTGCTTCAAAGCGGCCAAAAGTGGCTTAATAGATCGGAAAGGTTACGACCACTGCATTTTGGGATTGCAAAGGCATACTTTTAATTAACCATCTTAAAAAAGATAGTTGATAGCCAATATTATTGTGCACTATTGGACAAATTGAAGCAGGAACTCACTAAAAAATAGCCCTATATGTAGAAGAAAAAAATGTTGTTTCTCCAAGATAATGCACCGGTTTACATAAGCGTTATTACAATGGCAATAGTTCATGAATTGGGCTTCGAATTCTTTTCTCATCCGCCATAGTCTCTTGAATAACTACAAATATCAATTTTTGATATGGCATCTTAAATAAAATTTATTCATAATTCTATGCAGAATTTAAAAATATAACAGTATTTTACCATTCGAACGTCCAACTTCAAATGCGATATGATAAGAAGAAATGAAAACATAATCTTTCAATATTAACTTACCGTGAAGCTTCTTCCAATCCTTCGTGCCAAATTTCATGCCATAATATGGCCACCCTAATCAATTCTTCCGATGCCATAAGTGCTTGTCTGACTAGAGTTGGAGAATGCTCGCTCATGCTCTTCAAAATTTTATTAGCTGCAGTTCTTCTAACACTTGAATTACTTTTTGTAGCCACCGTCAGCGGATACACCAACGCCTGTAAATAAAGTCAAATGTTACAATATTTTTTACCACAATTTTAGTTTAGTTTATTTTGACGTTTCAATTTCCACTTCGGAAATCGTTCTTAAAATACAAATTCCGATTTCCGAATACACAGTAAAAATAGTAAATTGTATCAAATGTTACAAAGTAAAGCAAAGAAAAGAACAAGGTCGTTACAGACCACACATAAGTTTAAGTAACGATCGTCGATAGCAAGGTGACAAGATGAATTCTGTTTGTGAAAACAAAAATAATTAAAACTAAAAACGTCAAGTCAGTGCCAGTCAAAATGGGTAGAAGTAAAAACAATATGGAAGTGATTCAATAGCCTAATAACTTCATTGTAAATTAAAGCCAGGGAAGAACACAACTTGAAAAGAATACTAAAATACATTATCAACATTATTAGCTTGCTTGCTAACCTGGCTTGGTTAGCAGTCGAATGTCCTTCACAGATTATGAAATTGTACATACAAAGCTTTCTAGTGTAGTATGCCGATTAGTCTTGAGCTGTAATACACCAGCTGAGATTGGCTTGAAAGTTGAAAAAGCTTCTTCATGTGACATCCGAAATTTTTTATCACAAAGATATGACTCCAGAAATTGACACAGCTTCCGCGGCAGTAGTCTAACCATCTATAGATAAATCCTTGATAACACACTATCAAATTCCTGCGATGCATCAAGAAATACTGTTGGACAGTGCTGATTTTCTTCAAGTGCTTTTTCAATAACAGATGTTACTCTGTGTACTTGTTCCACTGTTGAGTGACGGTTTCTTAATTCGAATTGAAAACCAGGTATGTTGACTACCGGTTTGATTCGTTTTGGTAACAGTTTCTCAAGTAGCGTGGATAGGGCTGGCAATACCGAAATAGGTCTATATGAATCTACTTGTTCAGCTGGTTTGTCTAATTTTTTCTAGATAATTATCTGAGCTGTTTAAAAACATTCCAGAACAGGTTTTAATCTCAAACAGACATTAAATACCTATAGGCTTTTTTTGGGTTAATGTGAGTATCATTTTCTTGAACTACTTCCATTTGAGTAATGTTCATGTCCATTTCAGCTTCATAGGGTGGAGTTTGGATTCTATGTTGTTGGGTTGCAATTACTTCTGACCTATTCATTCTGTGCGTTCTCTCTCTCTCTCTCTCTCTCTCTCTCTCTCTCTCTCTATGTATATATATATATATATATATATATATATATATATATATATATATATATATATATATATAATCATTTTTGTTAGGCTGATTGAAACATTAATACCGAAATATTCAAGGTTCGCAAAATTTCTTGTCTTATATAAATCAAACAACTATACCTAGAAGTCAAACTTGTATAGACCATTTCCATTTCTATATAAAAAGACCTGCTGATTACACTAACATAACTTCATTTTAAAGTAGTACTACTTCAGATCATTATCTACTTGCAGTTTCCATCCCTAGTCTAACCAAAACCAAAGAAAACAAAATAACAATAAAGAAGTACATCAACTAAAAAATCTAAAAAACAATTTGAAGCAGGAAAAGTGGTTGGATATTTATACTAAAACAAATAAAAATGAAGCGGTAAAACTTTTCATCGACAAAATTTTAAATGTAATAAACAAAAATACAATTATTTTAAAAAGAAATGATCTAAAAACTACTTTTAAAGTCTGAACATGAAAAACATAGATTGTATGATCAGCTGACCCAATATCCCTCAGATAACTTAAAAAAAACAACGATATACAGATTATAAAAATAAATTAAGACTTTTAGTTAAAACTGCAAAAAGAAATTATTCAAAACAACGAATTGAAAAAAATAAGACCTCTTCTTCATCACTTTGGAATGTAATTAATTCATTGTGCGGAAAAATAACTGATAGAAAAGAAATTATGCAAATGAATTTAATACACATTACAGTACATTAGGACAAAGTTATGCACAAAAAATACCCATTTGTAATGACCAGATTGAGGAAATAGATAGGATAGAAAGCAGTATGTACTTGTATCTCGTTGACCAAAAAGAAGTGGTAAATGGAATACAATCTTTAAAACACAAAAAATCTCCTGGCTGGGATGGTATCAAGACAGAAACCATCAAACAAATTAAGTTTTCTCATTAATGCATGTTTTCAGGATGGTTGTTTTCCAGAATGTCTGAAAATAGGCAAAATCAAACCTCTGTTTAAAACAGGAAATAAAGAAGACGTGATTAACTACAAATCAGTCTCTTTGTTATCTGTTTTTTTCCAACATATTAAAAAAAAATTTAAAAATAGTGAGATTTTTGGATAGGTTTAGTATAATATCGGATTGCCAATACGGTTTTAGAGAAAGAAAATCGACACAAGATGCTATTTGTAAACTAACATCAGAAACATCAGAAGCTTTTGAGTCTAATAAACGTAGTTTATGCATATTCGTCGATTTCTCTAAGGCGTTTGACACGATATCTCACGAGATCTTGTTGAAAAAACTTGAGAAGTATGGTCTGAGAGGACAGGTTTTGACATTACTCAAAAGTTACTTAACTGACAGAAAACAATTTGTAGAAATTGATGGCGTCAAAAGTGATCCTAAAGTAATTAATTATGGCGTACCGCAAGGGACAATTTATTTCAATCGTACCGCAAGGCCTTTTACTTTTTACACTCTATGTTAATGACATGCTCAAACTAAAAACTGTTGAAACATAATTAGTTTTGATGATGACACCGCAATTTTTTATAAGGCCGATAATTGGGAAGATTTTAAGATTATAGCAGAACAAGACTTCAAAATTATAAAAACATGGTTGCAAATAAACAAACTCACATTCAATTATGAAAAAACTAATATATACCTTTTGCAATACATAAAAATTCTTTGCCAACTTTTAATTCATTAAAAATAAATAAAAAACAACAAATATTTAAAGCAGAGTACATAAAATATTTAGGAGTTTTAATTAACAGGCACCTTAAATGGGGCTTACAAATAAAAAATATTATAAGAAAAATATGAGGACTGCTACCAAAATTCCCCTATTTAAAAGAGTTTTTGGATGTTGAACAGCTTAAAATGATTTACCTATCACTAGTACAATCTCATATTGTATATGAGATTTTAGGATGGGGTGGAGTAGCTGATCACCATATGGTGAACCTCCAAAATACTCAGAAATGGTTTCTTAAACTAATATATGGAAAACTAAAAACATATCCATCAGACCAACTTTTTCATGAAACTCAGGTTCTTAAAGTTCGGTAATTGTACTGCATAGAGCTACTTAAAAATATTCATCAAGATAAAATTTCTCTTAAAGTAAAAGTGTTAAATTATGAAACAAGAAGAAAATTGAATGTCGAATGTCTTCACGCTTTAAAAACAATCACGCAACGATTAATTAAATATTTTGCTCCAAGAATATACAATCAATTGCCCATAAATTATAAAAATATCAAAAATTTTTATTTGTATAAAAAATTGGTTACTGCTTGGGTAAAAGGAAAGAGGGAGTTGTGTAACAATTAAATAAATTAAAATTATTCTAGATAAAAAATATCGAAATTAAATTAGAAACTGTAAAAATAAAATAATTTGTAAAAAAAAACAATAAACATAAACCTGTCAATATTAGACAGATTAAGTCAATAAACACGTTTATGTTTTTATGACTTTTTTTACGTTTATTTTATTGTAAGTAAACTGAAATTGTAAATTATTGTAATAACTATTGATTTGAATAAACGTATATTATTATAATAGAGGATCATCATGGATGTTACGAAAAAATATACTTAATGAATTTACCTGCGGATGAGTTTTACCGATATCCACTAAAAGGTGATTTATCAATTTTGAAACCAATAAGCGATTTGTATCTATACGGGCTATTAATTGTGGAATAACTTGTAACCAGGTATTTTTCTCCACTAGTCGAATACCTTCGGCTATTGCTTCAGATACTTGAGCAGTCTGTCCGTAATCGAACCATAAAGTTAAAAGACGTAGTGTGTCTTGAAGGGAACTTCCTTGTGAAAGATGTATTGACCTGTAAGAATAATTAAAATTTATAAAAAGCTAATATAACAGTTATTCAATATTTACTTACTTGAAAAAACCTTGTACGGCTAATACAGTGTGCTTGTTTAAGTCAAAATTTCTGTCATTATCAATGCTTGACCTATCGCCTTTACTTTTTTCTGTATCTTCTACGTTTTTGTAGAACAAAACTGCTTCGAAGTTCATGTAAGCCCAATTGTGCCACGCCTTATACCAGTCCTAAAAAAATATCGGCTTGATTAGAAAAAGTTGTATTTTAAATCATTTACTAAATTATGAAAATATTAAAGGAATTATTTTCATAGGTAATCATTGATACTATCAGTATGTGCTAACACATAGAGAATTGGCTACTCAAAAGAACCCACTCCGATATTTGACAATATTCATTGGATTTTGTGAAATTGCTAAAACAGGTCGATTTTTACTCCAAAGTATGATCTTTTAATGATAAAGATGTGCCATTTGTTAACCCTCTCTCTTCCAGTACCTTAATTTTAATTCGGGAATAGACCATGTGTGGCACATCCTTAGATAACTATTTGATATTATAGATAACGCTGGAGGAGTCAGACATTAATAATTTTTCTTTTCATATTAATTCGGTACTTGTGAAAAACTATCCATTTATTAAAAGTGTAATACCTCATAAAAATTAAAAGTAAAGCTCAGGTTTTACTAGTGTTAATGACTTATTTTTTCATCATGTTAAAAAGCTACATAGAAAGAAATTTGTAAAAAGTTTAGTTATTTGAACTATTAAATAAGTATTTTTTAAATTCGTTCGAAATGGTCTATTATATCACAGAAGGCGTTGAAATGATTTTCATATTTTTTTAATATATGGAATGTAGAAAGTTGTGTTTTTTACAATAGTTTTTTAATATTGTTCTGAAGCTATTTTCTTGTGGCATTTTAAATTAATTACTATT